GGACCTACGTGAGCAGAAAAAAACCCAGCAGGGTAATAATTTAAATCAAACTGTACAAAACCGCCCGTCGCTGTTTGATCGGCAGCAGTTACTGACACCCAGGGATTGCCAACACCCAATGCAGGTCGCTCTTTTTTTTTTTTTTTTTTTTTTTTATTTTAAAAGAAGCCTAACATATATTTTTTAGCATAGGCAGCACTGCGCAGCTGGCCTGAGAGCTGTTCCTGCCTGACCCGCACCAGGAGGGAAGCAGGGGGCTACTCCCAGGCCATAGGGTAGGGTATAAATTTATTATTATCAATTTATTACTGTCAAACGCCAATCCTCAGGGTAGCCAAGAGGGAGTAGGAGCTCCCTGGCTGGCAGGAAAGGAGGCGGCGGCAGCAGCGACGGCCGCATCCCTCAGCACGGCAGGCAAGCAGACACATTTCTCTGTAGGGAAGTGTATCTGGGAAGCCTGGAGATGTGGGGCAAGGAGCAACAATATTAAGACATTTGGAGGAAGAAGGGACAGAGTAAAGGGTGGAACCAAGAGCGTAAGTCAAAGGAAGTAACAGCAAACAGCAGTAGCAAAAAAAATAAATGGATAGGTGGGCTGAAATCACTCATCTGTCTCACAGCCTCGACCTGCTACAAAGTCCATAGTCCTTCCTGTGCCGACTCGTTTGCAGAAGTGATACTCAGCCTAATGGACGTGCCAGCCAAAGCATCGCATTGGTACTGCAACTGAAAGCCAAGAAGATGGTTAGAAAATGTGCTGCTGCTGCTCCTACCTTAGCTAGAATATTAACAAAGTTGGGGGAGTGTATTTTGTATCACTGTAGCAAAATTTGGCTGGGTTTTTGGAGGGGAAAAAAAAGAAAAAGGGCAAATTAAGGCCCAGAAAAAGCACATAGCTGAGACTATAAACACTGACAAACATATATGACAGTGGATGCACCAATACACCTGTGACCACATTCTGCATGTTGGCTGATCTGAACTTGGTGGTATTAAATCTGCACACATAAAACGCATCTGAACCCCCAGCGTGGAAACACTGAGCAACAGGAGCAATGCAATACCCAGGCTGGATTCCTCTGGCTCCCATCAGTCACTATTCTTGCTTTATAATGTAGACAGCTACAGCATTACTAGGTAGGAAAAAAACCCACTTCAGCTATGGAAAGCGAGACTGTTAGCCTAGATCTCACCGATAACTCTGTTAAACCACTCTAGTCAGAGTAACTCCAACACTTAAAATAGGTGTCTCCTTTTAGATATTTCAGTCTGACTGAAGGGTAAGGCCAAAGGAGGGAACCATGTATCTTAAGATTTCTTCAGTTACTTCAGGGTTTCCAGCTTTTGGCAAGAGAAGAATTCCTTCAGATGTCTTCAGGAAAGGAACTCTCTGGAAAATCCTATGGGCAGCCAAATCCTTACGTGGACCAAGCTACCAGTCTCCTAAGGATGCATTAATTGGCAACAGGCACGCCCTACAGCTTTTCTTTAATGATGCTGTGGACTCAGAGCAGCTGATAACACTAACAAAGACCTCAGACTAAATCTGGATGGGAAAAACACGTTTAGTGTCTTTTCAAAAGACTCATAGGTAAGTAATTAGTAGATCTACCATACAAGCAAAACTCACAAATGTATGATTTTAAGTAATACAGAGGGATTGGTTTAGAAAAATGTTGTACAGTTCCTGAGCCACCCTATATGACTGACTGTAGTCTCTGCATCGTTTCAACATTCAGCAGAGAATGAGTACTATACATGTATGAGGGCAGCACCAAGTAACCTAGTTTATCAACTGTACCATATACCAATATGTCATTCTTAATCTAATATTTGACTGATTACAACTTGGGGTCATTGATGCAAATACAAAACCAATCATGTAAAATGAGCTCAGGTTAACACTAAATGTTAGCAGGTGTGCAAAGTCGAAAACCGACAATACACCTGAAGTAAGCCTTACAGACAGGATCTCCTCATATTTAGAACTTTACAAGTATCACCATAAATACTGAATAGAAGATAAAGAGAGGCTTCAGCCCCTTCCCTCCCCGCACTTTGCCTTTAATCCACCATCAGTTGGAAAGAGTTTGAATGTGAAGCAGGCCCAGGGACCCCAGGCCAGCTCACCCCCGCAGAGCCACCCCGTTGCACCTTTTGCTCTCGGCCCCGAAGAGCCCAACTGTTTTGCAGCTCAGCACAAGCGATGGACCAGGCTGCGATGCCAGGCCACCCTGAAACAACAAAGATAGATGAATGAGTTTTATCTTGATATCTTCATCAGACTTGCAGTACCCTATTTAACTCTGCTTGGACGGTGTCCAGGATTGAGATCCAAATGCATAAAAGGGACATGTAAAGGAACAAAATAACGTAGCAATTGCACAAAGGCAAATAATTATGAAATGTGTATCGTACAGATCAAAGTTAAGTTATTTAAATGTAGGAAAAAAATCCATTAAACACGACTAGGCAGTTGTGCTTTTAAATTCAGCGTAGTTAATGAGCAGCGCAATACTCAATAGCAAACTACTGCCCTATGTGGTACATTTTACCATTTCTTGGAAATCTAAGCTCTGGGAAATTAAGTAAGTCAGTAAAAATTAGGACGTCAATTCAGAACAGAGAGCTTACTTGCTATCAGTAAAAGAGTAAGGCTATATTGCGCAAAGTTTATTTATTACCCTTCTATGAACACAATGAAATGGACTTGTGCCTTATGTGAAATACTCAAAGTACAAAGATTTTGGCATTTTCGTTCAGTAATGGTGGCTCAGATTTTTTAGAAATAGGCTAAAATTTAGAGCATTTCAGTGTTCACTAATTTACTCTTCGGCTAAAAAAATGTTTTCTAAATTTAACTTTTACAGAGATCGGTGTTGTTACCAAAATGTGAAATGCTCGCTTTTTACCATAAATCTGACGCTTGGTCGGTAAATATTTACAAAAATGTTTTTGTTGGGCATGTGAGTTTGATAAAAACTAAGCTGCACCTTTTATAGGCAAAAAAATTGCAAAGAACATTTACTTTAAATTCATAGATCTTGATAGGAGATCATTCTATTATTTCCCCAAAAGCTTAATTTTACAGCTTTCCTGTAACAGAAAATCCTCTAGTCTTTAAAATCTTCTACACAAATGATGGTATTAATATCTGCTTTGTTGGGATCATTATAGAAAAAAATGCACGTGGGATTCCTGAGGCAAGGAAGCGTGGCTCCCCTCCTTCCCCACTGATATTGCCTCGCATCATTCCATACTGTACAGCCAAAAGAAACTGGCGTGCTCCTCTGGTCGCTCATGGAGACACAACAATATTCACACCCTGGTTGGTGTTCAGTCAATCTGCAGCTGCGTGGGAACACTCACAGCAATGAAATAAGCAAATGCCAACGTGTTCCCATGATCAAGACATAAGTTTGAAGCAGAAGTGATCCATCTTCGTATTTTATGGAGCTGGCCCTTTGCTGTAGGATACTTAATGTCAAATAATTGGCCAACATTTGGGACTTCTGTTACTAATAGTGATGAGTATCCTGCTTTTCCTTATTTCTCTTTTTTATTCTGTGCCAGCAGCATGGAACACACTTGACTACTTTTGCAGGACCGTATGCTAAAACTGGTGTCTTCAAAGTTAGGAGTCAAACCTTGTCGCGGTAATTATGTAAGACACCTCATAGTCCTTGACACTTCTGGCATCCATAGTTCTCATCTGAAAATACTTAAGGGGCATTCAGGTTTTATGTGCTTTGTCTGTGTTTGAAATTACTTTTATTGCTGGTAGAGAATAGGAATTGTTCTTTGGCTGGTCTAAGCAAAAAGCCAGCTTTTTGCACTTTGACAAAGGGACAACAAAGCTGCCCCTTTTTTCTTCTCAGAAAAAAAATAAATCAGCTACCAAGACAAGCAAGCTCAACGACAAGCAGCATTTCATGGAAACCAGAGCCTTTTTCACTTGGGAAAGATCTGGGGAAGCCTTTCCCTTTCTCCACATACCGTGACATCATGTCAGGATACATAGGGCACTCAGGCTTGCTGAGCACCTTTAGTACCTTTCTCAGCTCTAGAAAGACAAATCTTTCTTTGTTCAGGTTTTCTTACCAGTGGACTGACACTCGGTTGTCTATGGACAAGTTCAGCACGTAAGGTATGCTTCAAAGAACAAACTGTTTTCCCAGTGAGGACGAGATTCACATTTTCTGAAATTCCTCAACCTCAAATTCCAAACTGACTGATTAGGTCCTTGCAAATCAAGTTCCTCATAGGCAAAAAATGCTCTTGGCTGCGTTAAGAGCAATCTGTGTCTTCCTTTAATGTATTTTTTGTCTGGGAAAGCTCATAATCTAATCAGTGTTTAATAAAGCATGCTGTCTTCCCCTCAAACACAAAAACCTTTGCATTATGAAAACCATCGTGGCCTTTCTACGGCTTAAAAAAAGGTAAATACCTGGGTTTATATCCTTAGCAACAATATGCACACTGTACTTCAAATGCAAGCTTGCAGTATTTATCAAGCACCCCAAAACTGAATTTAACTCGAGCCACCATTTGTCTGTAATTTTATCTTGATTGATTGTCAGTCAGAGGATGTCTTTAGGAGAGGCTCTGGAGTTCAGGGCAGCCCCTAACAGGAACAAAACTCCTGACCCCTGCGTTGCGCACACCAATTCACAGGTGTGGGGTAGCATCGCGAGTGCTGCAGTCTTGGAGGCAAGGGTTGCAAATCAAATTGGTTCTATGGGCCTGTACATTATCATACTGCTGATTTGAGATGCTTTTCATGGAGTCTTTCTTATATATAAAAAAAAACCCATAAAAAATTACAGGTAATTAAAAGAGAGGTCCTTGTAAGAGCTTTCTGAAGAGGTTCTAATTACGTCTTGCTTTAAAAAAGGGAAGAAAAATGTGGTAATTCCAGTAAGATCCTTGAAAACGTCTTATCAGGGGAAAAAAAAAAGAAAGTATTAAGCCTGCAGCCTAGGGTTCGGAAGCTTCTGTAGGAGAGGGAGAGCTCACAGATGTCACATTTGGGCTTTTTGCTGCCCAGGTCTTCACCTAGCAGTTATCTGAAGGACCTCTCTCTATCACTTTCTTTGCAGTGCAGCAATACATACATTTTATCCTCCCGCCACACCTGTAAGCTACGGCAGCCTTTCCTGGTGCCCCCCAAGAGCTCACTCTCTGCTCCAGCAGCAGATGTACCACGGTTTTGCCTTCCTCCATCTCATGTCCTTACAAGTCAAGGACACCCTTTGCAAGAGCTGATTATCCTTTCCTGGTATTTTAAGGTCCTTTAAAATGCTAAGAAATGTACATAACAGTACTCCAAACATTTTTTTTTCCTTCTGAACAATGCTTTATCTCACTTTTTTCCTACTTCCTAGCTTTCATGACCTGCAGACTATTATTTTATGAGTCCCTTATACAAGTAAATAGTTTTCCTTAGAGCCTGTGTTTCCCACGCCGCAGTGTTTCACCCACCTCTCACTGTTTAGCCACGAAAAGCATGGGAAACAGCCCTCGCGGTCCCGGTGGGAAGTCCTGTCCCACCATGCGAGGCGGGGGCAGAGGCCTGCGTGAAGGCGTGAGACTGTGAACAGAAAAATAACGCCAAAAAAAAAAAAAGGTGAGAAACAGCATCCCCGCAAGTTTAGAAGCGTCTTAGTGTTTGCATTGTTCCAGCTGGCTTCCATCCCAAACCAAGGGGCGAAAAGGAAACCCAGAACTGAGCAGGTAAAAACAATTACAAGCCTTCCAGTCAATGGATAATTAAGTTAATGAACAACACACTGTCATTCAAGGAACTTAAAACTGGATGAGACAATAAGAACAGATTCAAAACAGAAATGAGAACCATTTCCATTAATATCCCGAGCAGGCCCTGGGCGTATCCTAATGCCAAACGACATTCTTCCTCTTTTTTTAATCAACTTTTCCATCAAAGTCAAACGTCGAAGAGAGAGAGTGTGCAACAACTTCACCATACAATTCACGTGAGCCCTTAAACAAGAGATACAAACACAGCATACTTAATGAATGTGCAGTGGTTATTTTCACCTTTAACGTATTTATTTATGGTGTTTAAATACAGCAAGCGGTACTGCCTACTTGTTCATAATCTGTTTCCTATTTCATCTTACCATTATAGATGAATGAAGATATGAATTTGGGGGTTTTTGTTAGAGCTTGGACAGTTCGTTATGTGGCCTCTCATCTGAGGACAAACGATGTTGCTGGGGGCTATGCTAGCACCTATCTGAACAGCAAATTTACTCCCATTATCACACTGTAAACACGACTCAATGCAGGTGTCAACACGTTTATTCCAGTAGCACCAAAAAAAATCCCAGGTTGGTTCACATTGCGTTAGGTGATGTGCAAGAGAATAAAAGACTATTTCAGTTAAATGTCCTCTTCCCAAAAGTATCAGAGGACTGGTTAACAAATTGCTGCTCTCAAGTTTCTCAAACAAAAATTTTAAATGTAGGCTGATAATACATGTGTTGATTTGAAGGTACAGAAAGAAGGCAGGCCAGACTACGAAGCTCTGCAGACTGGTTGCTCTTACCTCTAGATGTCTCTGGCTGGCTGCCTCTTGCTCATCTAGCACATTTCCCACAAACGTAATCTACGCTTGTTAAGATAAGTTTTAAATAACAAAATGCTGACAATGGGTAAAAAAAAAAATGCGAAGTGTTTTCTACGTGCTCATGAACACAAACAACAGGCACCAGTGGAAGGTTTAAGGTCCCACACCTCACAGTGTATCTGAGCTAGACCTTTATCTGTATGATTAAAAATCACAAGGGAGGCCTGGTTTCTGAACGTAATAAAGAATAGCCAAACTCCAGGCAAATATTGGGAGATCTTGTGTTTAAATTGCCACCAATATACAGAAAATGTTAGGCCATTTATATAGAGAATAGAAATGCACAGAACATAAAGAGCCTTACGTACAGCTCTGCATGCCTTTTATATGGAAAAGGCTTCTATTTCTTGTTCTACTTGGTTTATAAGCATTTTTAGTACCGTAATGCTTACACTTGTGCATGAGGAAATCAAGTCAATTTGCTACATTAATGTTGATATTAAGGACTACTCTGGTATTTCAGCACCTTGCCCATACTACCATATCCTGTGGCGGCTTCATCTGTTAATTACTATATTGAAAGCTTAAAACGAATACCTGCAAGGTATTTTAGGAGGAAACCAGAGGCAGGAGCAGGAAACCTGCAACAGTAATCACAGCATATCTTTTTCAGCTTAAAAACAAGGTAAGAGTTCAAAGGAATTCATTCAAGCCCTCTGTCCTTGTGGTCACTAATTACACAGTCCTGACCTTTTTTTGGGCATCCATGTCAAATCACTTGAAGCATTGCACAGGTTTCAAAATGCTTCAAGTTCTCACTGGAAATCTGTTTGTATATACATATACACATACATACACAGAGAGATACGGGGACAGGTACATTGGAATCTTATTTTGCAGCAAATACATTCTTTCTGCTACCAGTAACAGTCAAGAAAGCAGATTTCTGGAGCATCTTCCAACAGCGATGCAGTGAGTGACAATCAATTACACCCGCATGACCCAGCTGACAGTCTAATTTAGCCTACAGAAGCTTTATGACTTTGCTGGTAGGAGGGAAACGTATGCACTTGTCCTAATAACACTGCTCGAGAAGTCAAGATAAGAAAGAGAAATTTGATTTTTATGTAGCAGCTCAGTCCTAGGCTGCAATTAAGGGAAAACAGCATGCTTTATTATTTTTTCCCGCATGCTGAAACTGAAGTTTAATTTCTCTGGAAGCTGCTGGAATATGACTACCTTTTCTCTCACTGGCGGTTGAGGACACTGGCTGGCACCGCTACCGCTGAGCTCGGTTTAACCGAGTGGGAACGACCATTCCCCGCCCCGGCAGCCGGGCGGAAAGACCCAGAAGTCAGGCTGGGAAGCCCGGCGCCCATCTTGCGCGTTATTAACCGCTACGCGCAGTTCTCCTTCCCAGCGAGGCCATCTTCTCCGCCAGCCTTCCCAGAAGGCGCCAAGCAGCCTTCCC